TGGAGTCTCCACCCTTGGAGATACTCAAAGGCCATGGAGTCTCCAGCCTTGGAGGTACTCAAAGGCCTCCTGGGATGAGGTCCTGGCTCTAGGTGACCCCGCTTGAAATGCAGCCCAGGGTCCTCCGGGAACAGGGATCAGAGCCCAGGTGCCTGAACCTGCAAGTCCAGTGCCCTGGTTGCTCTGTGGGGTCTGGGTGTCCCCCAGCTTCTGTCCTCCAGCTTGGCTGCTATGGGGAACATGTTCCAGAGACCCCAGTTTCTCCATCCAGCCTCCCCGTTCTCCATCTCGCATCTCCATCTCCATCTGTGATCTCCTGCCCCATATCCCCCTGGTCTGTCTTTGTGTCTCCCATCCCGAGCTCTGGGAGCCCCTCCTGGTTCCTCAGGGTGCAAAGAGCCGTGGACAACCATGGGGAGCAGCAGCAGGTTTAATGGAGATGCAAAGGGGAGCAAAGCTGGGTCCAGGGCGGGGACATCCGCCCAGTCCGGTGGGGCCGGAAGGGACGGGTGGCCCTGAGGGTGCTTGACTAGAGCCCTTGTCCCCTCCGCCTGTGGTTGTGCAGGGCCTTGCCCGTGAGGAGCATCAGCAGGATCAGGAGAGCCGAGCCCAGCGCCAGGCGCACGGCGTTGCCCGTTGTGAAATCTGGGGGGACAGAGAAGAGGACATGTCACCAGGGCTTAGCCCCATGAAGGTTCTTCAAGATCCAGTTGCCCCTTCTGGCCCTTCAGGTCCTCCTGGCTTTGCTTCGTGCCCCCGGTGTCCCCTGGTGTCCCCATTGCTCTCCTCGTTGCGTCCATCCAAGGGCACCTCCATCCCCACAACGTCATTGCCCCCAACCCACCCATGACCTCCCCACCCATAGTGTCCTCCACAGGGTCTGGTGTTTCTCCCTCCACACCCAGATTTTCACCCTTGGTGGTGCTGGGGCTGGAGGTCCCCACGACGGTCGGTCTGGGTGGTGCCTCCATCAGCACTGGCCACGCTTGTGTGGCATCATGGGATGCTGCAGGAGGAGAAGGAGCACATTGGGGAGCAGAGCAGGGAGGAGATGGGGACGGATGGTTGTACGGTTGGGTTGATCATCTATGACTCCAAGGCCCCCTTCTACCATCCCTCTCTGCTCCATCTTTGGGCCTCCTGGAGGGGACTATGGACTTGGATCCCTGGGGAAGGGGTTGCTTGGCCCATCACTGCCAGGGTAGGGTGGTCCCTTCGGGGGCAGCCCCTGGGAACTGCAGGGCTAGGAGCTTCCCCCACCCTTTCCCACCCTGGTCACCTCCTGCCCATCCCCGAGGAGCGTCCCGCCATGGCTCTTGGGCATAGCCCTACCTGGGAGGAAGGCTGAACCCGACTCCTCCTCCTCCTCCTCCTCGTCCTCCTCCTCCACCTGCACCTCCATGGAGACGCTGCGAGACGACCACGCGACCGCCTCGCCTCGGGGGCGGTAGGAGCAGCTGTAGGTGCCGCTGTCCTCCCGGCTCGCGTGGGCCGTGGAGAAGGAGGCCTGGTGGCCCCCGGGGGTCTGGAGCCGCACGGGGGCCGCGCTGCCCTCCCGGTGCAGGACGAAGGTGGCCCCGTGCGGGCCCCGGCACCGGATGCTCAAGCCGGTGCCCCGCGTCACGACCGCCCCGGGGCTCAGGGAGATGTGGGGCCGGGGGTACGTGGGATCTGTTGGTAGAGGGGAAGGTGGTGAGATATGGGGACCCACCAACCGTTGCCGCCCCTACACCTCCATGCACGAGGATCTCATGTTGCCCCTTGCCCCATGGGGACCCTTGAGTGATGCCCACCCATTTGTGGACCCACCCAGGCATTGGCTTTCATGGGAGCCACCCAAGAGCCCACATGGGGACCGTGGTCCCCTAGACCCTTCTCTCCTGGTCCCCTAGACCCTTTCCCCTGGTCCCCTAGACCCTTCTCCCCTGGTCCCCTAGACCCTT